ATTTTACAATTTTTATTGCTACTTCTTAAAAACGTTGAGTCCACCGTAGATTGTTTTAACCTCACAATTTTTATTGCTACTTCTTAAAAACGCTGGGTCCTCCGTAGATTGTTTTAATTTCACAATTTTTATTGCTACTTCTTAAAAACGCTGGGTCCACCGTAGGTTGTTTTAACTTCACAATTTTTATTGCTACTTCTTAACAACGCTGGGTCCACCGTAGATTGTTTTAACTTCACAATTCTTATTACTAATTAATAAGTTTAGAAGCTCTTCGTACGTTTTTTTTTAAGTTCATAATTCTTATCTTGGGATTTCTATATCTTTATTTATCCTGAGCTACTTCCTTGTTACATGTCTGATTCATAGCTATTTTGTAATACAAAAACCTCACCTGCTTAGTGTTATCATGAGTTCTAGTTACTTTAATCTATCGCTTTTTTTTAAGCTCCTTACCTAAGAATTGCACTAGTGCCTGTTCCACTTCTGACAAATACTGCTTCTGAGCTACAGTTTTAAACGTTTTTTTTTTAAATTAAATTTTGACATTCCTTGTCAGTCACTTTACCTGAGAACTTTTCAGTGGATTGTTCACCAATGATTGACACGTGCTAATATATTCTGATAGTATCCCAACCCTTGATGATGCTGATTAGAAAAAAAAAACAATAGAAAATACATACTATTTAACCATGACGGTACTGAAAACAGGTTCTACCTAATAACAGATTCCTTTATTTGCAGACAGGTATCATCAGCACCTTTGATCCAATCTACCAAGAAGAAAGTAACCCTAGTGGATATGCCCAGAGGAAGTGGGTAGTTTGACGAACATACTTCTCAAACCAGTCAAGTCAGCGTTGATCAACTCTTCAGATAATTGTGATGGGAATGGAAATACAACTTCAGTAAAAATTCCTTTTCAATCAGACTCTATGTGTAATAATCCAACCTTATTTGGGGATAAAATAAAATGAATAATCCCCGTTAAACGTTTCATTACATAAGGGTTGTTTTTAGTAAATGTATAAATATTCCAACCATCTATTATTAGTACAGCTGGAAGAAGTGTGCTATATGCTATGTTCCTGTATATAAGGTCATGATTGTCATATATTTACAGCGTTAATAACGATTATTTCGAAATTCTTATTGTTCTTTTTATCATATAACTTCTGATAATGGCATACAAGGTTTCAGATTTTGATCAGGAATCCTTTGATATTTACTTAAACATTGGTCCTTTTATCTTGGATGAAAAATTTGACTTGAGTGAAGAGCCAGACGAAGGCGACAGTCATTCACAATCCAGTTTCACAGAAGAAGCTGAATCAGGAGAAACATATCCATTGCAAGCTATCAGCAACGCTTCTTTGAATTCACTCGGGAGTGCGAAAAGGTTAGATGATGAACACAGTGTTTCAAGTTGTGAAATTTTGTCATCAGAATATAATCTTAGACCACGCTCTACCTTGAAACTGTTGGAGACAGAAACGAAAAAGTACTCCAAAAAGGTGCTTAAACTAAAACCGCCACCTTTAAGCAAGTATCGACGAAAAACAGCTAACTCGCGCGAACGATGCCGGATGAACGAAATTAATGAAGCATTCGATAGGCTAAGAAAAGTAGTACCTAGTTTTCACGCCAGTGCTGGTGTAAACAATTCCAAATTAACGAAAATTACCACTCTAAGACTAGCTGTGAACTATATTGCAGCTTTGACGACACTTCTTCAATCAGCTGACCAAGCATAAAATAAGTCGTATTTGAATTCTGCTTCGATGTTTCAAAATATTCTGGAATTGATTGAAGAAAGAACATACCATTTAGTGATGAACTAATGAGGACTGAACAAGGAACAGTATATCCCATGCTAGTTAAAAAACCAATAGCCACAACCTTTGTGTAACGGTGTTGATTAAAATCCATTTCAGCGAAAACATCTGCTTCGTAGTGTAGATTAAAATCTAGTTCAGTAACGACATCTCTCTAATAACACATTAAAATATAGATCAGCGACATCTGAGACAAATATTTAAAAGTAAATTCAACCTAGTAGTAACATCTGCGTATAAAATGGATTAAAAACCAACTTAATGACCACTTTAGGCGAAAAGTGTAAAATAAAACCAACATTGTCCTAGTTGTATAACTAACATACTTCTTACATAGCAAGACTCTGAAGTTGAAATTCATTCAGTGATTATGTAAGGCTGAAATTTATTCGAGATAAATTACTTTGAAACAACACAATATGAAATTTAAACCATGTGTACACAATACATACTTTTCTCGACATCTTTCATTTATCCTTTTAACCAGCTGTCATATTATGTTACCATGTGTATAATAGAAGTCCAAAAAGAAAAATTGAAACCTGAACATGGATATATCTTACAACGCAAGTATAAATAATACAGAATATCATATTGATTATATTATAAAACAGGTTGCTGAAGTTCTAGAAATCTTTGTATATATGAGTAGTATCTTGAATGATTGTGACAAAGCGCAATTAATACGGCTGGTGTATTTTCATCCTACATGTTATCTCCGATCTGAATAGTTAAATGGAAAGAAAACATTGAGCGTACATGGAATTCACTAACAATATGAGAGGCTTAAGTTTTGTTTAAATTCTCGTCAGAGTTTTATCTATTACGAACTAAAAAGGTGATAATATTCGAGTAATCACTTTAAACATTTCGGTGGAACTTGAAATAACACTATTCAAATTATTTCTATGTTAAATGAAAAAAAAAAAGACCCATAAAATATTGAATGTAGGTGGAATTCACATTATGAGAAACTAAAATTCTGCTTAATTTCTGGGCAGTTTCTATAATTTGATTGGAGACATAAATAGATGCTACTAAATAAGCTATTGAAATATTTTTCCAGAATAGTCTTTGTTTTTCTTAGTGCAAAGCTACACAATAAGCTATATGCACTCCGTCCACCGTGTAGAATCAGACCCTGAATGTCAGTGTTGTCTATAAATCAACCGCTGACCCATTAGGGGACCTAAAATACTTTATTCAAAATTATGAATAAAAACTGGTATATGACACGAGTCTAATATTTGTCTAACAATTATTTGATAATTTTACCGTTGTTTTCGTCGTTACTTATATCCGAAACAAAACTTTGTTTTCTTATCTACAAAGTAATTAAATTTAAGACATTAAGTACCTTTCAAAACCAAGAACTAATTTAAACAGTGTTAGTTCAAGTTACACATGATTGTGTATAGTATAAACTGATTACTCGGATGTTATTACCTTTTAAGTTCATGATAGTAAAAAACACGCAGGATCATGAAGATTTGGTAAATCAGATTCAAAAACTTCAGTGAAACTCTAATGTATTCACCATGTCCACCTGTCAAAAGTACTTAGGTTTTATCAGCTTACTTTGAAGTTGATTAGTTTTACGTCAATCTTTTCTCACAACAAAAATAACACAAGAAACTGTTCCACCTGTCGAAAGTGCTGGGGTTTACTCGAGTTTCTTTGAACTTGATGACTTTTAAAGCAATATTATTTTCAAAACAAACATTACACAGAAATTGATTATAGGGTTTCTTTCAAGTTGATTGCTTTTAAATCAGTGACATCATCATAACAAACAGTTTACAAGAAACAGTACTACTCGTTGAAAGCTCTAGGGTTTCTTTGAATTTGATTATTTTTAAATGAATAATATTCTTGTAACAAACATTACACAAGAAACAGGCCTACTTGTCGAAAGTGCTAGAGTTCTATCGGGTTTCTTTGAATTTAAAGCAGTAATATTTTCACAACAAACTGGCCCACCTGTCGAAAACGCCAAGGTTGCATTGCGTTTCGTTTAATTTAGTTACTTTTAAAAAATAATCTTCTCATAAGTTATACATTAATCAAGATCACTCAGAGATAGTTTGACATTCTGATTTGATTAACTTAATAAAATGAAACGATAGCTGTTTTATATTTAGCTAAAACTCGCCTCCTACACGAACAAGTTGTAAGAGGGTAACTGATACAGTTACAATATTACCGGTGAGCCCCATCTGAGCCCAGATTTGTAACTCCCACCTTATATGGTGGTTTGAATGTTATACTTCTATCAGAAAACTTTACTGTACAGTGCTTTGAAAAAGTATTCGTCCCCTTACCAATAATAACACATTTTGATGAAATACAAATAATGTAATTTTTTTAATGAGCTTGTTTATATTCAAAACACTAATGATCAAATTTAACAGTTATGTGTGAATGTGGTTGAATGTCAGCAAAACCTGCAAAGAAAATATATAAATTGAAATTTGCTGATTGCATAAGTATTCAACACCCTAATTCAGTACTTGGTGGAAGCACCGTTGGCCGCAATTATTTCTGAGTTTTTGGATAGGTCTCTTCCAGCTTTATACAATTCCATTGTGTAATTTCTGCCCATTCTTCCTGGCAAAATTGCTCCAATTCTGACAAATTCGTTGTTGATCGTTGATGGACTTTAGTCTTCAAATCTCGTCATAAATTTTCCTTTGGATTTCAGACAGGACTTTGACTGGACCACAATCCACTCCAGGACATTCACGTTCTTCTTTTGAAAACACTCCAATGTGGCTTTGGCCTTGTGCTTCGGGTCATTGTCCCGCTGAAATGTAAATTTTCGACCCAGGTTTAGATGACTCATTCAGGTTTTTCTCTAGGATTCGCCTGTACTTTGCATCTTCTATCTTCCCCTGACAAGCTTCCCAGTCCCTGCTGATTAGAAGCATCTTTATAACACGATGCTGCTGCCACCACTATGCTTGACAGTTGGGATGGGGTTGACTGGGTGATGTGCTGTGTTGGGCTTGCGCCAGACGTAATGCTTTGAGTTTGGACCAGAAAGCTCAATTTCTGTCTCATCTGACCACAAAACCTTCTGCCACATGTCTGCAGTATCATTTACATGCTTTGTCACAAACTCCATACGAGATTTAAGATGATTATGTTTCAGTAATAGCTTCCTTCTTGTCACTCGCCCATACAGACGAGCTTTGTTTAGGGACCGAAATGTCGATGTTTGAACACTAACTCCCATCTCAGACATGGAGCTTAGCAAATCTGTTCACTGTTCGCTTCATAGTGACATCGCTAACCAGTTTCCTGCTTGACCGGCTTCTTGGTTTGAAAGGGCGGCCTGATCTGGGTAGTGACTGGATTATATGAAACACATTCCACTTCTTAATGATGGAATTCACCGTACTCAAAGGGATAATCAGCCACTTGGAAATTATATTGTAACCTTCTCCTGATCTGTGCTTTTCTATCACTTTATTCCTGACTTGTTTGTAAAGCTCCTTGGTCTTCATAGTTGGTTTGTCGTATCATTATGTGAGTTGTGGCTTGAACAGATGCATTTACTTTGAAGTCAAGTTAAACCACTTTGACTACACAGAGACAGAGATCATTACACTAATTTTGTGACCTTTCAAACTAATCATTTGTACCTGAACTGATTTAAGGCTGCCATAGCAAAGTGGTTGAATACTTAAGCAATTGAAAATATTCCAATTTTCTTCAAAAACCTAACATACTTACATAATATTAGCGTTTTTTAGCTTTCTCAGTTTGGAGTAGATTGTGTAGATTCTAAATATAAAGTCCCATTTGAAAGTTTCATGATTGCAAGCTCAGACGACAACAAAATGTGGAAACTTTGCTGAGGGGTGAATACTTTTGCAAGGCACTGTATAAATACGTGACTTTTGGTTTCTTTATCCTCTACATTTTTGAATATATCTAATTAAACTTCGATCGTAAAGTGCTATTTTATTAGTTTTGGTTACATTATGTTATTGAAAGAAAATTACATCTTTTTTTTTTTGTGAAGAAATTATAAGACATGAATTTTCCACCATGAAATGTGATGCATTATGCAATATTCATAAAATCTCATTCGATTTGAATTGTATATTTTGGTTTTCTTAAGTATCTTGAAAACTTTTCAATTCGATTGATTCTCATTAAAATTTAAGATAATTTCAAGAGATAACTTATATTTTTATTTCAGTATTTAAGATGTAAAATAAATATATAGATTTTTAAAGATATTTCATTGTGTCTCTTTCTGATTCGTTTCTGTATGTGACTTAAAAATAATATTTAAAGTTTTAATATTTAAATTAATTTTGTTGTGTTTGTGTAATTATTATGACGTGTCCAAAATTAATATTAATAATGATTATGCTGTAAAAAATGCAAATTGAAAGTTATTTTTGTATAAACATATGAGATAAAGATATAATATTTTATAATAGACATTCTTATAAACAAAATACAGGTTTATGTATCTGGCATGTAATATTGGCGTTCAAGAGTATTTCTAATGTACACAGCTAGTGAAAATATAACATTATCATCACTGCTGTTATGATGGATATGGACTTTTCTGTTGTTCCTTATTTACTAAGTGTTATACATTGTCAAGAAAAAATTTTATATACCCAAACGGTACATACATTAATTTATGAATATAGTTGATGCAGTGTAACACACACATTAACTATATGTATGTAGACATTAGTTTCTTAATAGATGGTTCAGTGAAGTACATATACATTTATATATGTTAGTTTCTTAATAGATGGTTCAGTGAAGTACATATACATTTATATATGTTAGTTTCTTAATAGATGGTTCAGTGAAGTACATATATATTTATATATGTTAGTTTCTTAATAGATGGTTCAGTGAAGTACATATACATTTATATATGTTAGTTTCTTAATAGATGGTTCAGTGAAGTACATATATATTTATATATGTTAGTTTCTTAATAGATGGTTCAGTGAAGTACATATACATTTATATATGTTAGTTTCTTAATAGACTGTGCAATGGACTATATATATATTCTTAAGAGCTACTTAATATAAATATTTTAAGATTATCGGAAAATATGAGTGATTTAATGACTGACGTCATCACTTTTAACGTAAGAGACAAGTAGATTGTATCTGAAAGTTAGTTGTTATTTTAGAAACATCAAAATGCTAACTATCTGTAACTATTTCAGCCAATCAGGTGATAAAAAACACGATAATATTATTAATATAGCGTCAGTAGCTATAGACCTTGATCTTTAATCAAGTTTGTACATTTTCCTGAGGGAATCGCTCCAGATATAGCAAAGTGTTGAGGGAAACAATTGAACTGAATCAATGGTTGATGAGAACTATTGAAACGTTAAATTCTACATATACTTACATTTTCTCGCTTCATAAACTCTCTAGGCTATTTTAAGTGCTGTTAAAATAAATTTGGTTGATTTAAATCTGTTTTATCGTGCTCGTGAGCATAGGTCAACAGCCCACAATAACGTATGCATGGTAGTCA